GGCTTACATACAAATTCGACTTAAGGACAGACCTTGGGAACAGAACTCGTTCTTAAACTGGAGACTACTGGAGACTACCTTATACACCCTTTTAAATTGTGGTTGGCCCCAGTCTGTTCCCCAAAAAGAAGTTCATTATTAGAAGAAGACACTAAAAACAGTATATTGTTAGTGGCAAAAACCTTTGAAAGGATGGTTCATTTCCAAGTACTGTTGTTGAAATGTGGCAAGTAATAATCTCATAAAAGTTAGGCTAAAAGAAACAGATAAGAATGCCAAAAATTTTTAGATTTCAGATCTTTTATTCGCTCTGTAATATACAAAGCCTTTGATTTGAGATCTCTGTTTTTGCTTTCATATATTGGAACATGTACTATAACCTCCCCTATATTTTAATTTTTAATAATCAACATTACATTGTAATTATTTGTGGTGTATGTAGTCTTGCCTTATTTTTTGTATTTAGAGAGTAAGTGAGAATGACAAATTTTAGGCCCTGAGAAGAATTTTTCTCAATTTCTTGAGGTCCTTCTTAAGCATTGTGAAGGAGATTGTTCACTTGGTTACATGTAAGAATTTTCTTCAGATAATAGGCAGAAAAATTATCACACATCTTTAACCCCAGTTGACTAACATTGGCATTTGTGACCTCATCACTTCCTGTTTATATTGATGTCCAGGATTTGAAGATTATAGGGAGACCATTCTCTGTCATTGACATTATGATGGGTAATGTACGAAATGCTACTTTCAAGAAGAAAAAAATTAAGCTAAAATAATAGCTGTTTTGGGAACTGCAAACAGACTCTGTGGACTTGGAGAGATTTTTAGTGCATGTAGTTGAAGGCCCGAAATTCAGTGTTGGTATCACTTCAGAATTGGTCATTGCAGTAAAACAAACAAACAAAAAAGAATTGGTCATTGCCATAATTTTCTGAGGAGGAATGTTACTCAAACCTGGTGGGATCTTCTGCCTTCCTGAAACAGGACTCATGTGTTTCCTATTCTTTCTGTTTACAACTGTGCATCAAAAACATTGTCGCTATTTGGCTCTTAGTACATGTGCTTCAAACAAGCTGCTAATGCTTACTTTGGATGTTTTAAGAAGTGCCTCTGTTTGAGTAATTCTGAGGATAAAAAATCAGTGCAAGCTTATGTTTGGCCTACTTGTCATTTGACATATTAGATATTCCAAGAGCATCATGGTATAAAAAAGGGATGTGCATCAAATGGAAAAAAATAGCCTCCTTAGAATATTCTATTAAAATGATTTCAGTATCCAATATTGTGCCAGAACCAAATTTGTAACAATTTGAGTTATAGAGGATAATGGGAACATATAACTGGCTCTTTGATCTTCCCCATTTTTATAGTAATCCATGCTGAGAATTTCTTACCACCCAATTTACAGAAAAATGCAGCTAGAAATCCTTTTCTTACATCCAGAATGGTTTTCTGAACAGAGGTTTAACTAACTCTGTCTTGCCACCACCTCATCCTTCACCCAAATGGTCCTAGTCAATGATAGTAGGGGGAAGACCAGTACCTGCTGCTTTATTGGATAATACATTCTCCAAGGCTTACAGGTTTTTTTAAAAAATAATAATGAGGTATTGAGCTCAGTGTGAGATGAAACTTCACATTTTGATTGAAGCTTGGGATAAAACTCTGGAACACAAGCTGAGGGAGCATATGTACTGATGTGGGAACATTTTGAGCCCAGAATATTTTGCATACTTGTATTGGATTTGTAGGTCATGGCTTGTCTTTCTTTCAAAGTCTTATTTGTAAGCCAAAACACAAATAACAGGCATCTTCTTTGGTAGTAACCTAATACATAGTTGGCTCATCTTAGATGTCATGATCAAGGATTCATCCCAGTGTGACTCATTAGGTGAGCCAGTGGCTGGTTATGTATGTGATCCAGGTGAGCTGATGTCTCACTATTCACCATATCTGGGTGGTAGCCAAGCAACTGCCAGTAGTCCGGATGTTGACATCAGGGGAGATTTGTCCTGAAGAAGACAAATTGCTCCATCAAGCTAGAATCCAGGCATAAGTGATATGCTGAAAAAAAAATTGCTCAGGATATTGGCTGGTGAGCAAGTTGCATACTATTGGGCAGCTGTTACTGAGTCTGGCCAGATCTTGATATTGGTTGCCCAGAACAGATGGGATTCTGTTGTCTCACCTTGCTCTAGTTTGTCCAGGTAGTGCAGATTGGACATGCAGTTAGCATACTTGGGCCTGACAAGAATTGTGCCATAATGGAACTTAACCCTGGTGCATGACAAATGTGAATTGCCATTTTTGGAGCCAGATTTCCCTGGAGCTTCCCCCCAAAGTACCAAGGGCAGAATGTATCACCGCACAGCAGTCTCTGCGCTTAAGTGAATCTCTACTCCCGAAGGCTCAGGAGACACAGTCATGTGTTTTTAACAACAGATAGGTTGTTACACTGGGTGGGAATATCCTGAGAAATCTGGTCTTGGGGTAGTGTAAATTTGACCTGGTGCTGTTTAGCATCCTGTCCTTCACACTCAGTAGAAATAACCAGTTATTTTACAGACTTGTCCATAAGAATGCTAGTGGCAGCTTCAGTCCTTGCGATGATCTTAGTACTGGCCTGCCCCATACTAATGTCTCCTTGCATGATTAGATGCAGTTTGTTTAGCAACAGAGCTGTTGCTGTCAAATTGCTCTTGATGTGCTGGCTTCATTTGACCTGTCTGCCTTTGACCACAAAGTCACAGTTGAGATTAGTTGCTCAAGCAATTGTTCGTCACACAGCAACCTGTTCTAATGTGTAAGGTCCAGCACTTTGGAATGAAAACACACCCAGCTGTGCCTGGATGTTATATCAGTGTAGGTGCTGGTGGCAGACATCCACTTGGATTCTCTTTATCTCATCATTTCTGCGGTGAAGGAAATATAAAACATAGATACTTCATCTTGATTGGAATACATGTTGGTGGTAAGGTTAATGCTTGTGTTGAACAGACTTACAGCAGACTCTTTTTTCCTGAATTACTGATATAGTGAGTGTACCATCTGTCTGCTGAAGATGATGTGTGAGGAGATTGAGGTAATTGGTTGAATCAAGTAGAGAACATGCCAGAATTTTTCATCTTCCTCCATATTAAATGATTAATTATCCAAGCTCTCATCTACGCGAAGTCTAATGCCTTAAATCCTACTACATGCCCACTGACTGCTGCTTGACAGGATATGCCATGTTCTGTTTTAGGAGAAGTGCTTTGCAGCTAATTGATAGCATGGGTTGTAGGAGAGACAGCAGGATGATACCTACAAAGGTACTATTGGTGTTCCCATAGTTTATTGCCTTTCCTCCTGCTGGCATGTTCACTGCAGTGGGTTGTAGCTAGGTAGCACTAGTTTTCAGGTTCAGACTTGAAGTACTTGCACATTACACTCTCCTTGGGTTTATAGCATGCTGCACTTTTGGGGTGTTTTTTACATTTTCTGTTTGTGGATGGTCTGGTGGTTCTCTTGGTCGCCAGCACCACTTACCCTGGACTCAGATTTCAGAGGAGCCAACTCTTCCTCCTCCTGATGCATACCCCCAGTGTTGGGTTGATAACAGAGGGAGGTGGACTTCCCTTAGTGCCAGGGAAGATCTTGTCCCCCACTGGGCCCCTGCTGCAACCTTGCCTGACACAGTGCCAGCTGATGCCTCTGTTCTGTCCAGCAGACACAGGCCTGTTCCTATAATCAGGCTGCAGACATCCTTTCCCTCTCCTTGGATGATTAGAAAATATTTTCAGCTTTTCCTCTGATCTCTGAAATTGCTGTACAATTTTAGGCATTTTTTTACACTTGTTTATACAGATAGTAAAATTACACTTTTAACAATTAACAGAATAAAAATAATCAGAAGCTTCAAATAATGTATCAGTACTATAATGCATATCTAGTTTTGGATAGGTGTACCCTTTTTAACCAAAATTTAATTTCTGCAGCCTGTATAATATTCAGTAGTTTTTCTGTGTTCCTGTAGAGTGGTGATATATGTGTATGTTCTTCACTGAGTTTAGCTGTTGTAGAGCATGGAGTTAATGTGGTTCTCCTGCCCCTCCCACTCCCCAAAAATAGG